TTTTTGTAATTATTAAAAATAAAATCCTGGTACTTTTTGAACAGACCTCGTACTTCAAAAAAAATATTTTTTTGAACTTGTAACCAGTAATTGGTAAATGACGATAATGAAATAAAATGTCTGGTAAAAATGACATTGTAAAAGACAACAAGATTAACAACGAAAAAGTTATCATTTTGAAGGTGACACTGATACAAGACAACAATTGTAATTTATTTGATTTATGAAAAAAAGAGTATTACGCAATCAAATTTCAATTCCAACCAATTACATTTGACTATACAATAAAAACTCGATTCATCATTCTGTTATTCGTTATCGTCAAAAACTTCACTAATGCAATTGATTAGATTGTCCTTGCTGGTAGCCAGATATACACGTGAATACAAAATTTAAATATAAACGCACAACTTATGAATTATTATACACCAGGCACATACGTAAGGGAGAAGGGGTGTTTCAACCCTCCTGTATTGCTTTTTTTACATTTAAGTCATTGACAGCTATTGGTTTTATCAAATTAAAAAAAAATTTTACTTTTAAAAGAGGAGAATTATAATGTTTAATTGATAAATTATGATTGATAAATACTTTTTAAATGCTTAAAAATCAATGCAAATATAATACTAATTTTTTTCTTTACCCCTTCCATGAAACAATCCGGTGCACAGATCTGTTATAATAAAATAAGAAAATGTAATTATAAAACTGTGTACATAGTAAATACATACGTTTATTGCAAAATGTTTAGTATGTATCTACTATTAGTAAAATTATATATTTTTGTCAAATATTGTAATAACAATCATTATGGGGAAAACGCGTATAGCTAATTATTTGTAATGCAAGTCACCCACTAAAAGTAACTCAAATTTTCAGCCAAATGGCTTTTCAAACTCACGATCAAATGACTGTATGTATATTCTTAGTTGGATATATAAATTATAAACATAAACCAAATTTAGCAGACTTTTGTTTTTTGTTAGTCGACATTAATAGAGGATCTGAACGAATATCACTATCACTACTCCCACGACTGCTTCCAATTTTCATCGTCCATTTATAACATACTTATAGTCTACAATAAAATCGAATTACCATTTTGGCGTTTTCATTTAATCCACGTTAAAGTCTATATGAACATAATTATGATGTGGATGAAACCTATCTGGATACCAATTTGCGTACACTCGAGCAGCTTGTCGAGAACTTCGATTACATTCGCCAAAAATTAGAATAAGTTCAACTTTTTAACTGTTATTCGTTTTAATAAATTTCTTTTATGTAAAAAAATGTATTACAGCGGTGGTTGGCATCCTTTTTGGACTATCGGGCCACAATCACAAATTAAAAATAATTCGTGGGCTAGACAAAAATAAAGATTTTATATTCTTAAATTCTTTACTACGAAAAAAAATACTATCTTAAACTTTAAAATCATATAATATATAAAAAAAATTTGTCGTTCTAGAATTTAAAGCGGGGCATATGCAATAGCCACGAGGGCAAGATTTAGCCCGCGGTCCACCGGTTGCCGACCACTATATTAAAGCAATCACAATTTATTAAAAAAATGATGTGATACATAAGACATAACCAGAATTTAAAACACGATGTTATTTGAATAGTAATTGTCACAACTCACAAGGCTAGGTAGTTTCAAATTATTAAAACAATTATTATACCTAAGTCGGTAAAAATAATTCATCAACATTTATTTATAAATTAAATGTAAAAGTGTATAACGAACTGGATTTACTATCTTAATTACTGACAAATGTCGCCTAAGTTTTTTTATTTTCTTACCTGTCTACAAACAAACAGATATTTGACAATATCGAAGATATTATTTCGATTTTAAAATAATAATAAGTTGAATCTAGTTAAAATTTCGTCAACAACAGATTATTTGTGAATTTAGATTTCTACATGCTATAAGTTCGTTAAATTTGTAGTAATAAAAAAACATTTAATACAAAAATTATTTAAAAAAAAAATACTCTAAGCAAAAAATCTTAAAAAAAAATGGTATTACCATTTAAAAAAAAAAGTAAGTTGTATTGCGCATGTGCGTACTGACAAGATCGAAAATATGAAATTTTTTTAAAACAGCGTATTTTGAACTTTGGTATTTTCATTCCCTGAAAACTCCATGTCTATACAAGATCATCCATTTGTAATGTTTCTTGATACCTGTTGGCGTGAACATATTGTTTTTTTTTTATTTATTTTATTTATAAAGTTTTCCTGACAAAATCATCTAAACTATATAATGTACAAAATTTTTAGCTATTTATAAAAACGATATTAACATAATATATAGTAAATAATTTGAATATAAGCTAATTTAAGACGTCATGAGGACGACCACGTTTTAGTCTTCGATTGATGGGGCCGACATTTAACCTGAAATGTAGTGGACCGCTGGCTTTGCGTAGATGACAGGAACATATTGTATATCTACACTTCCGGTTTCTACTAATCATTATACACGACGTACGAATAAATAATTAAATAATTTTAATGCACTTGAGACAGATGGTGGGAATCTTAAATGTTAAATAATATTTTGAATTAAATTAATAGTAAATTTCAATTCATAAGAAAATTGGAGTTTTTTCATTATCTAATTTTGAGTTGTATGAAAAACATAGTATAGCATTTTCTAATAATAAATTAAAATATTTAAAAAAAGTAGTAAAGAAATTTCTTTGATATTTTTTAATTAAAAAATGTGTTACATGTTTTGTGCGGTTCAGCAGATTTTAAAGATAAACCGATTTTTTAAAATTATCAAATTCATGAGATTAATTAAACTAGACTTACGGCTAAAAAAGAGTAAACAAAATAGGTAAATTAATTGCAACTATTCCAATAGTATGACAGTACCAGCGAAATGAACGTATTCAATCTTAAAAAGAATAAAAACATATTGTAGAACATATTATTAACTCAAGATTTTAACTACATATGTAAATATGTTGGAAAGCTAATAAAAAATAAATAAATAATTGAAGATCAAATTAGACTATCTCTTCTTTCAGAATATCATCAATTAAAAAAAAAAAAAATAGGTAAGCCCTGAATTTTCGATAAAGTTATAAAAAATTTCATAGAAAAAGAAAGTAGAATTGACTTTGTTTATAAATAAAAAAAAAAAATTTGAAGATAACTCATTTTAATCAAAAGAGTTAGTCAACTCTCAATTAAAATTATTAAAGTTTTATTTTTAAATAAATACAATTTTGTGTACTATTTATTAATTATAAATTAAACAGAAGGAACTATTGATAATACATTTTCATAAATAAAATAATGAGCATGCCATACATTGGAGTCAGCATTCGCCACTGTTGGTGTTTCATACTGTCACGTCTTGTAGTTGGTCACAATGCTTTTTTTCTTATCAACCACGTTGTTTCTTTATCAAGAATAATATTTACAATTGATGAAATTAAATACAGAATAATAAAATATGAATATTGAATATCAGTAGATATTAATAATAATTAATTACTATTATTAATAACTAAAAAATAGCATTCGACTATTCAGTATTCAGGTAATTTAATAATATTTATTTGTATTATTATTTATTGTTATTTGTCGTTAAAATAAAAACAATTCTACTTAATTTATATTAAATTATATTATTTGAAATCAATTTTCATAATAATTGATTTTCGTATTCGAAGTATGAGAGTCATCGAATTCTTCAGCGGTATCGGCGGAATGCATTTTGCCCTGAAAGGTATAACAGTATTTTATATAGGAATTTTTAAATACAAAATTACATAATAATGTTTAAATAACCGTTGAGGCTTATAAATATTAATTTTTTCCAGAATGCAACTTGAAAAATTTTGAAGTCGTCCTAGCTGTAGATATAAATACAGTAGCAAATGCAGTGTACAGACATTTTTTTCCATCAACTAATCTCAAAGATTTGAACATTCTTTCACTTAGCCCTGAACAGTTTGATGCATACTGTCCAGATATATTACTGATGAGCCCACCATGTCAACCTTTCACAAGGTAAGCTTTTTAACTTAATTATATAAACCTACTTAAAAAAAAAATTATTTTTCCTGTTTAATTTAATTTTTAGAAATGGTCTGGTCAGAGATGTTAATGATGAAAGAACTAAGCCACTGCTGCACATTATTGAAAACATTATTCCTAAATCAAAATCACTTAAATATATTTTAGTAGAAAATGTTAAAGGATTTGAAAGTTCTTTGGCTAGAGATAAACTAATAGCTGCCTTGAATCAATCAGGTTTTACTTTTAAAGAATTTCTTTTAAGTCCTGTTCACTTTGGTATATGCAATTCAAGATTGAGGTATTATTTATTAGCCAAGAAGAAACCATTAGATTTTGCAATACCCTTACAAAATGATATCGTAAGTTATTTATAAATCAATGTAATAAAATTTATTTTACAGTGTTGTAAATTGCTTATCCCTTAATATTACTTGTAATTTGTGGCCATTTACCAAGTTTTGGAAGAAAATTATGTTAACTGATCTTTAATCCCTTTTCCAATGACTACTTGGAAAAATATTTGGTACTGGCAATACTTACCAAGCCGTCAGAGAATATTCTTGTACTATTTTTGGTTATTAATATAGATACATTAGATACAAGTCAAAAAAAGCGACAAATATACTAATGAATATATGAGTCTCCGACATATTATTTACAATTACTTGTCCATTTAATTATTTTTGTGCTGGGCAAGTGCACCAGCTGTAAGAAACCGTTTAGATTTATTCCACTGATTATTTAATTTTTCATACTTATTTAAATTATGATTACCTGTTATAATTTTATTGTTATAAGTTAATATCCAATGACCTATTATTTGTCTCATGAAAGAAATGTGCTAAGCATGTAGATTGAGCTACAAATTGATGCCAGATAAAATTTAATAGGGGTAATGGGTAATGATGCATAAGAATATCCGTTTCTATTAAAACACGATACCTTTTTTTATGACACAGACTATATTATAGTAAGTTCAACACATGTACAGTTATTATAAATAATCAACTTGTAAAGTTACAAACATTTATCATTTGTTCATGGTTTACCACCATACAATAAGATTTCTTCATACTTACAAATTGATTTTAAATATTGCACATAACATTATGTAGCCATGTAGATTGCAACATCAAATCTACGACTTAATATTTTTTACCTGTGACTTGGACAAGCTCATTTATAGTCGAATTAAAAAAAAACTCAAATTTAAATTAATTGAATGGATTATCAAATAGTTTTCATTTAAATTAACTATATATTGTATTGTATTTAAAATTTAAAACAATGTAAAAGTATTTTACATAAATTTGATGATTTTAAAAATAATTAATCAACATCAAACTTAATATTTTTTTATTTTTTTTTTTATCCATAGATAACTGAAAATATTTGGGACGATAAATTATGCAGCCACGTTAAACAAGTTTCAGATGTATTGAGCGAATCTGATACAGAATTAGATGAATATTTGATTAATGACAAACAACTATTGAAAGGCGGCAAAGCTTTGGACATTGTTACAAAACACAGTAAGAGGTCATGTTGTTTCACTCGGTCATACAGTTCATATTTATGCGGCACAGGTTCTGTGTATTCCAGTTTATGCGAAGAAAATATTAAAGAAATAATTAAAGACAATGACAATAATTTAGAAGTGCTAAAAAGTCTAAAATTGAGATTTTTTACACCAGCAGAAGTTGCAAAGTTTATGTGTTTTCCTGTATCAGATTTTCCAGTTAGCAATAAAAAGGCATATCAACTCCTAGGAAATAGTATAAATGTTTATGTTGTTTCACGGTTATTATGTTTATTATTACCTTAAATCCTTAACTATATTATTAAGTGATACATAATTGTATTTATATATGTTGAATGTAAACAAATACGTTTTTCAAATATGTTGTTAATAAAATAAATTTAAAGTATTGAGTTATTTTATATCATGAGATATTTGTTTAGATATTCTTAGATAAATCAAGACATTATTTAATTTCCATACAAGAACATTACTACAGATTTTGAATTAGTCAAATAGTTCTATTTGATAAAGTAATTAAAATTATATTTTTATTTAATAAATTTATTCATTTTTATGTTGTTTCACTAGATTCTAGTAACTTATATGTTGGTAGGTACTTAGTTCAATAGTATAAAAGTACATAACTTGTTTGAAAATTAATTTAACACACAATAGAAAATGGATAAACAAAAGTTTAATATATAATATACATATATAAATAATGATATATGATAATTTCTAAAAATTGTATTATCTGTGAAATGGTTAAAATTAATGTGGATATTAATTAAAATGAGAATTTATTGTAACAAAAAAAGAAAAATAAACTATAAAATAATGTAAACAATATTTTGTAGATATTTAATTTAGATGAATGTCTGTAAAACATGATAATTAAAATAACTATTACAACTGAAAGCATAAATTATAGTAGCATATTGAAAATGGCTGCCTAACATAATAATTGAACATAATTGTAATTTAATTCTTACATTACATATCAGTCCATAATATAAATTTTTCTATTTTCCGAGCGCTTTTTGCATCTCGGCTGATTTTTGAATCTTGGCCATTTCTTTCTCTATAAAATATAATAATAATATAAAAAGTGTACTAATCTAGTAAATTATATTGATTGGTAAATATCAATTTAAACATATTCAATGAGAAAAAATAATAGGTAAAGAAAAACTTACCTTTTTTCTCATCTTCTCTCTTTTTAGCAGCTTCCGCACGCTGTTGTTTAATGATTGCTAATCTAGCTAAATCTGCTCTTGCTTCATCTGTTTTACCTTCAGCTTGCAGCTTTTGATAATGTAGTTTTTTCCGCTGTCTTTCAACTTCTTCTCTGTAATCAATAAACATAAATTATGTAAATTATAATTAAAAATAACAAAAAATAATTGTTATTAACCTTTCACGTCTAGATAACTGAGCTGGTTCTGCTGTATCTAAGGTTTCATTAAGCGTAGCTAATTTCTTTGCTTTTAACTGTCGCCTATTTGGATTTTCAATTTGTATCAGGCCAGCAACACCTTTTTTATTCTGGCAAAAAATAAAAAATTTAAATTTTCATTACCAAACCATAATTATTATAATAGACATTATAATTACATCATCAGATTCTTCTTCAGATTCACTTTCACTCTCAGATTCATCCTCACTATTGCTTTTGTCTCCTTTGGTTGCAGGTTTTTCTTCTTCGCTTGATGATTCATCATCACCTCTGTTATTTTTCTTCCACCTTCTTTCCTGTTCTTCACGTTTTCTTTGTTCTTCTAGTTCTTCAGGATTTGTAAATCTGCGGCTCCTTCCTTTGTGATTAGTCCATTTACCTAAAGAGAAGAAAACAAAATCAATTAGTTAAAAAATCATTTTTAAAAAAAAATCGCATTTTTTCAAGATCGACTCAGAACAAAAGAAAAGAACGTCGAAGAAACTATTACGGTTTACATACCTCTTGGCATTTTGGAAACTTAAGGCTTTCGTTCGGTGATAAATAAGTAACTACCTACTAACGCTTATCGAAAACAAATCACAAATATAACTGGGCAGTGGGCAGTGTGCACGATCTATTTTTGAATTTTGGACTTCAAAATGGTATTAGAGACGACACTATACTAGTATATGAGCCTGTATCAAAAAATTATTTATCAAAATATTGACGTCGATGATAAAATTTACTATATTTCTTTGGTTGTAATTATTGCATCAGACTCGCTACGGTCTTGGAAAAACGGCCATGGCAAAGAGGATATATAAACACGAATGTGGCACGATACCGTTACCACGGCATCCACGTGTTTGCCGACCAAAACATAATTAAATTTACATGTTTAATGTTTTGTATTTGTATTTTAACTTTTAAGGCGCGCGCAGAAATTTTAGAATATTATAAAAAGGTCATTGGCCACTGTAATTATCGTGCAATCGTTTCCTATTATGTTGTTGAAAAAAATTATCGCTAACCGAGTCGGTTTTTCGTTTTATGTCAAATAGGCACGTATAGTGTAAAATTTGTATTATCGCGGGTGTGCGTCATACGTTAGACAACGACAAGAAAAGTATCAAAACATTCAAAACTATTTAAAATATGCGCGTTTCACTATACCTGTCATAGCGTTGGAAGTTTTGGAGCATCGATTTTCTGTAACATCTTTTGAACATTTACACGATATTATAAAAAGCAAATAATGTATTATTCAAGCTTACACGTTTATATATTTTTAGTTTTGTAATTAATTATTTATTTAAATATTATAATAATTATAGACATTTCATGTTTTTAATAAATCAATAATTATCGTATGTCAAATTTAGTCTCTCAGGATTATTTATGGTGTATAGATAGCTTCTAAATGAGAAATGAAAACAATCTGGAGATGATCCCGTTGTCGGAGAGTATTCGAATAGGCAATCGAATATTTTAGTGGTGGTCGATGGTCGATAAAAAATTATTAACAAATTTCCTATGTTGTTTTTAGGTATTTGCTATTTGTAAAACGTTTCGCACAGTTGCGATTTACTGTCCGCAATCAATTACTAACTACAAAGTCGCTTTTAACCAGCTAAAATAGTCGGAAATTCCTGCTGATAATTAGCTAAATATATTGGGTAGTAAAAGACTTGAAATTGTGATTAATATTCATAAATATTAAAATCGATAATATAATCACTTGCAAGGTTATAATTTTTATAGTGGCCAATGGGTGCAGTTATTATACTTATTTATTTATTTATTTAATAACAATGTTTTCAAAATATGTACCCTGGGGGAGTTCTTAGAACTTTGCGTATTCATATTTCCCCTAGAATAATGACATTTACTATAAATTTTTATTTGACATTTAATAATAAAAGAACCAAATCGACAGCCCAGATTTCAGATAGGTATCTAAAACTACTCACTGTTTCTGATTTCTGTATTTCAAAAAAATCAAAATCAGTCATGTTTGTTATTGCTTATTGATTAATTATTCTATACAAAGACAGGTAAAAACAAGTATTTCCGGGGATATCTCGAGGACGTCCTCAATCTTGTTGACAGATTATATTGAATAGCCTGAGTACGTTCTCAATCCTTAGTCCACATACAAGAAAATTTCATACGTCGAGACTATCAATTTCAAAATAATAAAATATCAAGACTAGATTTTGTCAAAAGAATAGTATTTAAACACCAGCCTATATTAGATATATCAAAAAAAAAAAAATAAAATATTTTTGAGGTATAAGTCATCAGTTCATCTCGTGTTGCACCCCAGATAATTCTAAATAAACTGGGACGCACTACTGCACTTGGGCTATGTCAAAAATATGACTTCTTTTTCTCGGGACGCACTCGGATGAGATACATTATTCGGACACACTCGGAATATTAAAAAAGGGTCATTTCGGGACGCACTTGGGAAACTCCCTATTGACCTAACCCTAATAACCAGAATAATTCGTTAAGTACACGTACATCGACGCTGCCGCCCATCAAAATGACTCCAGCTTCTACGGCTATCTAACCGTACTCGACGCAGTGTTAGATTTTTATAGCCTAAAATTTTGTGTATATATAGTACGAAAAGTAAAGTTTAAAAATGTGTTTTAAAAAGTATTTTTTACTATACCTACCCATCTTTAAAAATAAATATTAATGATAAAACAATAATCGTATTAATGTATTATCATACATTTCGGGACATATCGGAATAGAAATTTAAAACTGGATTAAACAAATTACACGGTCTGTTCAAATCAAATCCAATGACGTATAGGTAATTCGTATGTGAATTTAACAGAATTTGATACTCTGCATAAGTAGATACCTAGTGTCATAGTAAGTGCCTACTGGCTACTGCTTTAGTGCCAAGTGCTCTACCAATCCGCGGGTTTTGCGGTTGGAAACAATATCGTGACCAACTCCACTGTTACTCAGCACTGTGTCATCAGCTGGTGATCGCCGATAAACTAAAGGACAAAAAGGACCAGTAGAATATTGGTTCATTTTAGTCTATGTACTTTTTTGTTTAATTAATTTAGGTACCGTCTTTTATCGATAAAATATCCAAAAATAAAAGTTTATAGTATAAATTATGTTTTAATATATATTAATATGGACATTTTGAATGATATCTTTAGATTCCCGACAAAGTTGTATAAAATGTATAGGTATCGTGTTTTTTTACAGAGAGGATGGCTGACAGCGTACCTGTGTCGGATGTTGTTTGCGTTGATGACATGGGCAAAGCTAGAGTCATGGAACCCGTGTTGGCGGACAAGGTTGCCAATCTGAAGGATCAATGCGCAGAATTCATGAACGGTAACCATGGAACGGACGGCTGCTGAGAAATGAAAACGTAATTCTCGTTTTTCTATAGATATAGAGCTGTACCGAGAGTCGGTTGATACGTTTATTGGCGTCATGGACCATCTGGCCAAACAGGTGGAGCGGGAAAAGCGAGATGCGATCGTCGTGTCCAACAAGTTAGCGTCGTTGCCCAACAAGACGGAAGAAGAAATCGCCAAGTTGCAAGTAACTGCGTGGGCTGGGGTCGGACTATTAAAATTCAACATTTTTATACGTTGAAACGTGTTCACTTGTTTCATATTTTATTCTATTTCAGTCGCAAATCGAGCAAAAGACTACAGAGCTCGAACGCTACAAGATAGAGCACAGATCGCTACAAAAAATCGAATCTGATCAAACGGATTTAATAAATAGGTTATCGTTTCAAAGCTAAACATTTTTTGATAATTAGTGCGAGTCATATTTCATTAATATAGCAATAAAGGCGTAATGATACAAACAAATATCAATACTTAATATTTTTTTTAAATTTTTTTTTTTATTATTACTGTTTAATGATTAATCAAATTATTCCTTAACTATAAAATAATGTTTAAGCATAAAAATAATTATGGTAAATGCATTTTTCATAATATAATAAATAAAATTATTATTATCGTATAGTATAAAAAAGAATAATCTGTGTATAATAAGTATTTTGTATATAAATATATGAATTTTTTATCAGTACGTGATTTACACGAAACAACCTTGAAAATACAAATTATCATCAACATTTGGGTAAAATAAAATAAAAATAATTCGTTTTTAATTTTATCTACACGTCGAAGATTCTGTATAAAATGTAACAAATACAAAAAAATAAAATAAAAATAATAATAATAATAATAATAGTAATAATAATAATAATAATAAGGAATGTGTAGCATATTATATTACTGACAAATAATATGTAATTTGAATATAAATATAAAAATGTAAATGGCATTAATGTTTTTTTATTATATTGTTAATGATTAATATATATAAATAATTATTGTTGTTAGATAAGAAATTATTTTATACAAACACAAATTTTTTTTAAAAAAAAACATAGAATCATTATAAATAAATAATAAATAATAACAGTTTTCTGTTCTCTGAAAAACAATGGGTTTTGTAATACTTAATGCATTTCAGAATATCTTGTAAAATGACAGAGATGATCATTTTTATTTGGCAACAAATCAAATTTTTTAAGTATACAGTAAATATAAGTACAGTACAATAATTGAGGGTAATATCAAGGGAGGAGGAAATGTTTCTGGTTAAAACTATAATTTAAAAAAATTCGGTTTCTTTTTTGAGCCTTATGTTTCACGGACCTGAAAAATGATAATGTGATTAAAAAATACTGGAAGTAATTAATGGTTAAATGGCAAGATTAAACAAATATAATCAGTCTAAAAACTACATACTTATTTTCATTATTAATGATTAAAAATAGCGTTTTATTTGATTTTACATGCTATCATCAAAATATTTTAGTTTTTTACAAGTTCAATACATTTTGTAAAAAGTATTTATGAGTTACTCAATATAAGTTATCACTTATTTGTTATTTCCAACGCTTTATTTTTTTCTCAGTGGTGAATACAACATTATATATATACATATATACACCATATTAATGGAATATTTTATCTGTCTATTATATATATATATTTTTTATCAACAGTTATAAATTTAAAATTCACCAATAATAATTTTAAGTGCGACTGTATTTACACAAAAACCTAATTAATAAGTAATAACACTAATCACTACAGAAATTAATAAGACAAGATATTAATGTGTATTAGTCGGGAATTAAATCCTTATTATAATGTTGATACACAACCATTGTTAATATTAAATTATAATTAAATTTAATATTTAAGAGTATAAATTAACACAATAGTAAATAATATTGACTTTGGGTTATTATTTTTTACAAAAATTAACAGCTGTGTTCAAAAATGTTGTAAACACTAAACAATATCAAGTTACATAAAACATTTATGATCATTAAGCAAAATCTAACAATAATAATATATTATTATAGCTCAAAAATGTATACAATTGGCGATCAGATTAATTAAAAAAAAAAATTACAAAATATTTTGAACATAGCTGTTCCTAGAAGTAATGCAAGGGCACGGATTAATTATTATATTTTCCCATGCGTTTAATGTGGGAAAAAACCATGGCTTATATATAGATGAAAAATATTTAAATACCATTAAACAAGATAGAAAAAATCCCAATTTGAATATAAATAAGCCAAATTTTTAGCACAAAGGAGTTTAATAAGTGAGTCAATAACTAGGAGATGGTTGTTCATGTGCATTCCCTACATACCATTATTATTTATTTTTTTGATTGAAAAGTAATTATCTTGAAAATTTAGCGAGACCACATGTCTTCAGCACCTAAATATTATAATATTAATTCACACCATCCACTTAACCATGATAATAATACAACAGTATAGTTTTATACTAATTATATTTATATTTAAAACTGTTTTTGCTCACCAAGAGAATTTGTATCATTAGATCCATTGTTTGACTCCAGTGAATCATCAAGAGAACTACCATGAACTGTTGATAAATCATCAATTGTTGAGCCTCGTTTACTACCAGTAGCACCTATTCTGGAAGTCGTGGTCACTCCAGTTCGCCTATAAAAAAAAAAAAAAAAAATTATACATGCACATTATAGCAGTATTTCTTTTAAATATAATTTTTTTTTTTTTAAGAACCTGAGTTTGCTTCTCAAATTATTGTTCTCTCTAGATATTGATTCATTGGATTCCAAAAGTTCATCGAGATCGCGCTGAATTTTTCGTTTCTGGTGCTTCTCTCTACTGATTTCTTCTTCTGCTTCTTCAATTTGCCTCTTCAGTGTTTTAACTCTAGCATTGCTCTAAAAAAAAACAATTTTACATAGTAGTAATGTCTATGATAAGGTTTGACATAAATACCTTTTCTACTTGTTCCTTATACTGTTCAATTGTTCTTCTTTCATCTTCTAATTGCATTATAACTTCTTTCATTTTTTTCTCTAATTTACGATTAGCTTTTTGTTGTAATTGTCTTTCCCTAGGAATTGGAAATTACCATTAGTAATAATAATGTGTAACAAACACTCATATAACAAAAAAATTTTAATTTTAATTTTTTTTTTTTAACACTTACTTGGCTTCAGTTTCCAGTTGCTCGTCGAGATTGGCAATCTTAGATTCCAAGTTGGAAATGGCAGTTTTAGTTTTCACTCGTTGATTAGTTTCAATTTCTGCTAATTTGGCTTTTAGTTCTTTGTTTTGTCTATCAAATAACATTTTATTTGTCTCCAATTTTTGTGTTGTTGCTCGTTCATTTGCCAAATCTAATCAAAATAATAATTAAATATTCTTGGTAAAATTAAAAAATATAAATTAATTTACCTGAATTCAACTGTTCAATCTGAATTAGAGCTTTTCTAATTCGTTCGTTCAACGCTTCTGACATTGTCTGTTCTTCTTCTAATTCTTCTTCTAACGTAGATATTCTTGCTTCCAGGCGACGTTTTTCATCTACCATTAATGTACTGCTAACAAAATACAATACTTATTAAAAATATTCTAATTTTTAGTTAAAGATAATAACACAAACCCCTTGTTAGAATTGCTATTCATTTCTTCGTGTAGATCATCGCGCTCACTTTCTGCTACACGTCTAGCTCTTTCAGATGCAGACAACTCTTCTGTCAATAACAGTAATTCAGCTTCAACTGATTTCAATTTACGTTCAGTTTCTTTTGATGTTGCAGAAAGCTCATCGCGAGAAGCTCTAGCCTCTTCAGCATCACGAGTAGCATCCTTCAATTGAACTTGTAATTTTTTAAGTTGTTTTAAAGCGTCTTCTTTTAATTTGTTGTGCATGTCTAATTGTTGTTCAAGATCTTTATAATCAGCTTCAATTTTCTTGCGACCAGCCATTGCAGTCGACCTTTGTTTGCGTTCATCTTCCAGTTCAGCTTCTATGTCACGAATTTGTTTCAAGAGTCCTCTACGTTTTTCTTCGCTCTGCTCTTCTTTGGCCTAATTAACACAATAAAATATTAAACGAAAAGAATATTATGTTGTTGTTACTTGACTAAAATTAATTAGATATAAATTGCCATTAATGTAAGATATTTTCATATATCACACTTACAACAAGATCACGTTCAAATTGAGCCCTTAATGCTTGCATATTCACTTCAAGTCTTAATTTAGCATCTTCAGTTATTTGAAGTTCATCTTCTAGATCTTCATTCTGTACACGTATCTCAGCCAATTGTGATTCTAATATTCGTTTTGCCTTTTCCAATTCATGAACCTAAAAAATAAAAATAAACTTAATACTTTTTTCAAAAATATGTTAATAATAAATGTATACAAACATTTTTATCAGCCGTTCCTTGATTATTTATCAATTCATCCAACTCATTTTGAAGTGTTCTCTTTCCTCTTTCCAATTCTTCAACTTTGACCATCAGTTCATCAAGCTCTCTAGTTAAAGAAAGCACACGTGTTTCTTTTTCACGAGCTTCTCGTTCAGCAGCGTCACGCTCAATAGCCATTTGCTCAGAAACCGCCTAATTTTAAGTATTAACAATAGTAATTTAAAATTTTATTCAAAAAGCTTGATAAAAATCTTTATGCTGTTACCTTTTCTTCGGCAAGAGTTTTGTCAAATATTCTTTGTTTCTTCTCAAGTTCGATAACTTTAGATCGTTGAGCTTCTAAATCAATATTAATATCATCTAGTTCTGATTGAAGTTTCTTCTTAGATTTTTCCAATTTATCATTTGTTGCTTGTAATTCTTCAATTTGCCGTTGTAACAATTCCACATCCTAAAAAAATTGATGTTAATACAAATTTTAAACTAATAAATGAAGGTATAATATACCTTAAAGATTTTTTTATAAGAAGCTTCCATTGCAGCGGCTGACTCAGCATCATCTTCCATTTTTTTTCGCATTTCAGTTATTTGTAAATTAAGAGCAACTATTTGTTTTTCCATATTTTTTTTAGACTCTTCTTCTTCTTCTAACTGTTCTTGCAAAATTTCTTTTTCGCTTTCAATTTGTTTAAGTTTAGAATTCAATGACAATTTCAACTTGGTTTCTTCTTCCAGAAGTGCCTAAAAAAATTAAAATAACAAGATAATAATAAGTTTAAAAAAATCAAATAATTTTGTTTTTAAATACTTGTGTTTCTTGCAACTGAGTTTCCATTGTTCCTGCTGATTTTTCAGCAGCAGAAGCTTTGAGTTCAGCTGCTTCTAATTGATTAACAATGGATTCAGATTCATTGCTAAGTTTAGAAAGTCTTTCAATTAATTCATTTTTCGAACGTTCTGATTCAGCAAATTTACTTTGTATCTCACCTATAAAATAAAAATTAATAATTATTAAATTGATTCTTTAAAATTATTGTAGACATTATTTAATTTTTTTAAAAGCTAGTACTTACTAAGTTGAG